TGGGTTCTGGTCCCTCCCTGGTAGCTGTAAGTCTTACCGTGCACCTCATAGTGCAAACGTTTAACCAGCTGTCAATGGTGATTCATAGATTGGAAAACCCATTCAAAAGCTTCATATTTTGAGAAATGTGAGATATTAAGGAGGCCTAAAAAATGGTTTTGCTTCATGTTAGTTAGCATGTATATGTCCATTCCATTCCCCTATTGGGATTAAGAAAATTTATGGTAACAAATATTTTATTTCCTTTGTGAAGTGCCCCCTATGAAATTATTTTATTATCATATAATATTACTTATAGTATTTTTTGTTGGTGCTGTTTTATGCATGGTTGTGTGAAACTAAATGTGTCATCAGAAATGGTCAGCTGTGCTCGTAGGTGGAGATGGTAGTTTCAGTTTTGGGTGATGGGGTAGATAGGTGTCTTCCAGGACATTCCAGATCTCAGAGCTCAGAACATTTCCTTGAGGGGGTGGCCATAGGTATTGCCTTGGAGGGGGAAGTACACTGACAGAGCTGGTGACAGCACGGGTTTTTGTGCCTGGTGTTGCTGGATCACGGGGGCGGGGCATTTCCTCCTCAGATGAATTATGTGCTATCTTGAGAATGTTAACACTTCTTGCCTTGGGTGATTTGTTGAGGTGTTAAAAAAGAAAACACCCTCTGGCTTCCCTGGTAGCGCAAGGGGTTAAGTCTCAGCACTCTGAAGCTGTTGCCAGCTACTGCAGCATATGTTCGATCCCTAGCCAGAGAGCTGACACCCACATGGTGCAGCAGACCTCTCCTGTCTCCCCGCTGCTCCCCTCAGCAGTGTATTTCAATAGATTTGCCTGTTCTGCTCCCCACTCTGTCTCTGGTGAATCCTCTCACCCCCTGCACCTCTGGCCTGCGTACATACATACATACATACATACATAAATCTTAAAAAAAAAAAAACAAAAAAAAAAAACAGAAAAACCCTCTCCTGGCTTCCAGTTTAGGCACCCTGTGGGGAGCTGGTGTTTTGGTTAAACAAAGCACATAAATAATTCTGGAAGCCTGGTGACAGATTCTAAAAATCTCTGAGATGTTTGCATTATGTTTATATACTATATATTTGTGACAAAGAATTTAAACACTCAAGTATTTTCCTCTCTGAAATCGTTGACTTATGGTTAAGTGTGAAATGAAATATTAGGTCCTGTGTTTTGTTTTTTAATGCTAGTAGCTCTGTAACTCAAAGATAAAAGGAGTCACTGTTTTAAGGGCTGTCTTTTCTCCTGCTGTAACTCTTCAGTTTTAAGGACTGTGTTGGCAAATGGTTAGTGGACATTCAGATTTGCTCTTTGAACACGTTCGTCGTGCTGGGGACACCCTCTTCCATCAGGCTTCAGGTCTTGGGCATGTCCTGTCTGCTACTTTCTCTTCCTCTGTGGCCTCACATCATTAAATTTCGTGACTCAGCTAATTTTTTTTACCCACCTCTTAGAACAGTTGAACGTGTTTGTGACCAAGCACTTAAGGTTATTTCCTTTAACTGAGTGTTTGAGACGTTTTTAGATTTATAACAGTCTTTGTTTACCGTGTAATTCAGTCCAATTGAGGAACTAGTAAAACTGCATTATCCAGACATCAAAGACAAACGTGTAAGAAGAGTGTACTTACACCAGGGAACTATTAGGTTTCTAGCAAGTGGAAAGTTACCAGGTGTCCAAAAATTAACCACTCCCATGCCAGCTAATTCTTATGTTTTGTAGTTTTTTTAGTTTAGTCAGCTCGCAGCAATCTGGATTTAAAATAACCAGTTACTACATTCTGGAGAGTTGAGAGCCCTGTTTTCTTCAGCATACTCCAGATCACTCAGACTTTGACTTGTAGACTAAGTGGAATGTCATGCCATTAAAAAATGGTAACTAAACAAGGTGTTGACTAGCTAGTCCATTTTAATTTAGTTCTGAATCCAGCTGATATCTTCATTTCTTGAGGTGTGAGATAAGCAGGTTGGTGATTTATTTGCTGAGATAGATTTGACCCACGGTGCAGAGAGTGAGTGGGTGATTTGGTAACTGCACACAGCAGTCACTTGAAGTGGGACCCTTGTCACCAGGTGCATCCCACAATGGCTGAAGTGGGTGGCCTTGTGTCCTGTCAGACCCTGGGACAAGGAATTGACCGAGAAGGGCTGTCACCCATGTTCTTGTCTGAAGCTCTGCCACAACCCAGTTCTCTTCGTGGGTTGGAACAGGGTTGCACGTGTGTGCTGCTGTGCCAAAGCACTTGATTTTGGGACTATTTCAGAGGATGTGTGTAAACATGCTTTACATATTCGTAACCATCTTACAATGTACATAGGTCTGCAGTCACCTAAGGAAGTGGTGAATGGGGGAGTCTTGTTCTCCCACTATCCCACAGATAACTGCTTAATCCTGCTGAAGCCTGGAACTCGGTTCCTTTAAGTGAAAGCCTCCAGGTTTATCTGGAGTCGATTGCTAATGGTGATTGAGATTTCTCTTTTGAAACTGTTAGACAATTTTTTTTAAAGATCTATTTATTTATTTATACAAGCACTGGGTACAGTCAGAAGCGCGGGAGGGTGAGAGAATTCACCAGAGCCAGAGCGGGGAACAGAACAGGCAGACTGATGAAATACACTGCTGAGGGGAGCAGCGGGCGGCAGGAGAGGTCTGCGCACCACGTGGGACCCTCACCAGCGGCGGGGAATTGAACCGGTGCTACAGAGGCTGCGGGCAGCTTCACAGCCCAGCACTCAACTGCTGAGCCACCAGGGAAGGCCCAACTGTTAGACAATTTTTACGTACAATTCCTAGTAATGCAGGGTTCGACTTTCTGGGTTGTCAAGGGAAGATGTGGATATGTGGGAAAGGTTAGTGACCTTTGAGGTTTCGTTACAGGGGGCAACTGCTGTTCTCCTTTTGCCCCTTGATCAGATGGATTCACACATGGTCATCTGATTTCCCGCCCCCTTTCTTAGGAGACATACTCACAAGAACATTAAAGCTGTGGAAATGCGGGGTTCCAAGCAGGCATTAATGAGATGCAGAAGAAAATTGCCCTGTTTGTTTATTGTAAGTTCTCCCTTTGTGATTATCTCGGGAGACTGTTGATTTGGCTGCAGGTTCAGCGCTCATCTATCCTATTTGCACTGTAATTGACGGCAGTGTAGTACAAGCGGCAGTAGCCAAAAGACCATTTATTTGTAAGCAGCAAAGACTACATATTTCACTTATTTCGGCTGAACAGTATAGAAAGAATTTGCAAGGCATCATGACAACATTTCACTGCTTTCAACTATTCAAACTTCTTGAGGTCCTTTAAAATGTCACTTTTCAGCCACCACCTGTGGTTCCCCGTAGTCTTTGGGAACGAATCCAGACTCTTGTAAAGCGGCTTAATCTTACTTGCTAACATCACCTCCCCACACACATTTTACTTCAGCTGGTTTCCAGCGGACCACACAGCTTTCTGGGAAGGGAGGACTCCGCCTGTCTCATCTGTCCTTCGAGTCTCACCCGAGATGGCACTTCCCCCAGGGCTTTTCCTAAATCAGAAAGGCTGATCGGCCACCAGCAGGACTCTTCATCTTGCTCTGGTAGTTACTCATGTACTCTCTTCTTCAGTAAACATCTGTGGTCAGCGCTGTGACGCGGGCGGAAGACACAGACGTGAACGAGACAAGGATGGACCTTGTCCTCCCAGAGCCCATGGTCCTGTTGGGAAACCTCTCCATATTCACATGCCTTAAAAACAACAACAACAACTTTTAATTTGGAAATAATTGCAATATAATAGAGAAGTCACAAAAAGTAAAATAACACAAAGGAATAGCCTATATACTGACATAGGATTCACCCATTGTTAACAGTTCACCTTATTTGCATTCCCTGTATAGACAGACAGGTAGATGAAGATATATCATTTTTTTCTGAATCGAATATGTTATGATTCTTTTCTCCAAAATCCTTAAGTGTGTATTTCCTAAAAAGTATAGGACTGTTCTCTCACCTGATAGCTATCAGTTACATGAGTTTAAATTGATAAAATACTTTGATCTAATATTCTGTTCAAAGTTCAGCTTTGTTAGCTGATCTAGTATCCTGTATATCTCCCCTTTCACTCCAAGACAGAATTCAGTCTGGCTTCAGGTAATTGCATTTAGTTAGGATGTCTCTGTAGCTTACCTTAATCTGGATTGTTTACATAGCCATTCTTTGTCTGGTATGCCTTTGATTTGGGCTGGGGAAGGGGAGAAAGATACAGAGCACAGACACCCTCTTTTACATAGTCTTGCTCGCTTTGAGTTTGCTGCTTTCTTGTAGTGAGGTTGAGATGCAGTGTGTCCTGGGCCATCACGGCATGGTGATCTGTGTCCTTCCAGAGGCATCATACCTGCAGGCTGGTCATATCCGTCTGTCCTCTTTCGGTGATGAAAATTTTCATTACCCAGTCATGGTGTTTCCACCTTCTCCCCTGTATAATTAGCATTTTCTTCTTCCCACTGCAACTAATAAGTAGGCTACCAGGAAAGACCTCAGTCCCATGCAGATAACCTGCTCCTCGTCAAAATTTCCCCACAGATTTAGTATCGCGATGATTCTTGCTTGATCCAACAGTATGAACTCAACTCCCTATTTTTTTTAAGTGGATTATAATTCATTACTGTACCTGTTGTTTCGGTTCTCAAACCAGATTGATTGTCCAGTGGGAGCCCCTTTCAGCGGGTCCTCTGTCTTGTGAGGTGCTCCCTCATCTTTTCTAGCACCTTCTTTCTTGTACAGCGGCGTATTCTAGGCTCACCTGTCTTCCTCCGTGAGATGATATTCCTAACTGCCTGAGGGCACGAAGCTGTTAGTCTTATTCGCTCTGATGTCTTTACCCAGCACAGTAGAAGTTTACTAATTGTATTTGTTGAATAAGAAAATTGATCTTTTCTATGTAGGTCAGTGTTTAAAATCAAGTTCTAATATTTTGATGTTAATGGGTTTTCTTTCTTTTCATCTTTTTAGGAAGAAATGTTGGCTATTTGGCGATGAGGAGAGGCAGAAACTGATTTCATACTGGTGTACAAGCACTACGGGACCTGACCCTTCTGCTGCGTGGGCTGCCGGCCTCCACTGATGATGTCAGAAAGCCTTTGTGTCCACTGGAAAACACTAATCTGATCTCGGAAGTGGCCGATTGTGGCAGGATGTGTCGACGATGATGATGGCAAGAAAGCAAGATGTCCGCATTCCCACCTACAACATCAGTGTGGTGGGATTGTCCGGGACCGAGAAGGAGAAGGGCCAGTGCGGCATTGGGAAGTCTTGTCTGTGCAACCGCTTCGTGCGTCCGAGTGCTGATGAGTTTCACTTGGACCATACCTCCGTCCTCAGCACCAGCGACTTTGGGGGGCGAGTGGTCAATAATGACCACTTTCTTTACTGGGGAGAAGTTAGCCGATCCCTGGAGGATTGTGTGGAATGTAAGATGCACATTGTGGAGCAGACTGAATTCATCGATGATCAGACGTTCCAGCCTCATCGAAGTACGGCCCTGCAGCCCTACATCAAGAGAGCGGCCGCTACCAAGCTCGCGTCAGCCGAGAAACTCATGTACTTTTGCACTGACCAGCTGGGGCTGGAACAGGACTTTGAGCAGAAACAGATGCCGGATGGAAAGCTGCTAATCGATGGTTTTCTACTGGGTATTGATGTCAGTAGGGGCATGAATAGGAACTTTGATGACCAGCTCAAGTTTGTCTCCAATCTCTACAATCAGCTTGCAAAAACAAAAAAGCCCATCGTGGTGGTTCTGACTAAGTGTGATGAGGGTGTCGAGCGGTACATTAGAGATGCACATACTTTCGCCTTAAGCAAAAAGAACCTCCAGGTTGTGGAGACTTCAGCGAGATCCAACGTAAACGTGGACTTGGCTTTCAGCACCTTAGTGCAACTCATAGATAAAAGTCGGGGGAAGACAAAAATCATCCCCTACTTCGAAGCGCTCAAGCAGCAGAGTCAGCAGATAGCCACGGCCAAGGACAAGTATGAGTGGCTGGTGAGTCGCATTGTGAAAAACCACAATGAGAACTGGCAAAGTGTCAGCCGGAAGATGCAGGCCTCTCCTGAGTACCAGGAATACGTCTACCTGGAGGGGACGCAGAAAGCCAAGAAGCTGTTTCTTCAGCACATCCACCGCCTCAAGCAGGAGCACATCGATCGCAGGAGGAAGCTCTACCTGGCAGCCCTGCCCTTGGCCTTCGAAGCACTCATCCCCAACCTCGATGAAATAGTCCACCTCAGCTGCATAAAAGCCAAAAAGCTCTTGGAGACGAAGCCAGAATTCTTGAAGTGGTTTGTGGTGCTGGAAGAGACACCATGGGACGCCACCAGCCACATCGACAACATGGAGAACGAGCGGATACCCTTCGACTTGATGGAGACCTCCCCTGCGGAGCAGGTGTACGATAGCCACCTGGAGAAGCTGCGGAACGAGAGGAAGAGAGCCGAGATGAGAAGGGCTTTTAAAGAAAACCTGGAGACCTCTCCTTTCATAACACCTGGAAAGCCTTGGGAAGAGGCCCGTAGTTTTATTATGAATGAAGATTTCTACCAGTGGCTGGAAGAATCTGTGTACATGGATATTTACGGCAAACACCAAAAGCAAATTATAGACAAAGCAAAGGAAGAGTTTCAAGAGCTGCTTTTGGAATATTCAGAGTTATTCTACGAGCTGGAGCTGGATGCTAAGCCCAGCAAGGAGAAGATGGGTGTCATTCAGGATGTCCTGGGGGAGGAACAGCGATTCAAAGCCTTGCAGAAGCTCCAGGCTGAGCGCGATGCCCTCATTCTGAAGCACATTCACTTCGTGTACCACCCCACCAAGGAGACCTGCCCTAGCTGCCCCGCGTGCGTGGACGCCAAGATCGAGCATTTAGTTAGTTCTCGCTTCAGCCGACCATTGGACCGGAATCAGAAAAATTCCCTCTCTGACCCCAACATCGATAGAATCAATTTGGTTATCTTGGGCAAAGATGGCCTTGCTCGCGAGTTGGCCAATGAGATTCGAGCTCTGTGTACAAATGATGACAAGTATGTGATAGATGGTAAAATGTACGAGCTCTCCCTGAGGCCAATAGAAGGGAACGTCAGGCTTCCTGTGAACTCTTTCCAGACGCCAACGTTTCAGCCTCACGGCTGTCTCTGCCTTTACAATTCCAAGGAGTCTCTGTGCTATGTGGTGGAGAGTATAGAGAAGAGTCGGGAGTCCACGCTCGGCCGGCGAGATAATCATTTAGTCCATCTCCCCCTGACGCTGATTTTGGTTAACAAGAGAGGAGACACCAGCGGAGAGACACTGCATAGCTTAATACAGCAAGGTCAGCAGATTGCCAGCAAGCTGCAGTGTGTGTTTCTCGACCCTGCTTCCGCTGGCATCGGTTACGGACGCAACATTAACGAAAAGCAAATCAGTCAAGTTTTGAAAGGACTCCTGGACTCGAAGCGCAACTTGAACCTGGTCAGTTCTACTGCCAGCATCAAAGACCTGGCTGACGTCGACCTGCGCATCGTCATGTGTCTGATGTGTGGAGACCCTTTCAGTGCCGACGACATACTCTTTCCTGTCCTCCAGTCCCAAACCTGCAAGTCTTCCCACTGTGGCAGCAGCAACTCTGTGTTACTTGAACTACCAATCGGGCTGCACAAGAAGCGCATCGAGCTGTCTGTCCTTTCGTACCACTCCTCATTCAGCATCCGCAAAAGCCGCTTGGTCCATGGGTACATTGTTTTTTACTCTGCCAAACGTAAGGCCTCCTTGGCTATGTTACGTGCCTTTCTTTGTGAAGTGCAGGATATTATCCCCATTCAGCTGGTGGCACTCACGGACGGCGCCGTAGATGTCCTGGACAATGACTTAAGTCGGGAGCAGCTGACTGAGGGGGAGGAGATTGCTCAAGAAATTGATGGAAGGTTCACAAGCATCCCCTGTAGCCAACCCCAGCATAAACTCGAGATCTTCCACCCGTTTTTCAAAGACGTGGTGGATAAAAAGAACATCATCGAGGCCACTCACATGTACGACAATGTTGCTGAGGCCTGCAGCACCACGGAAGAGGTGTTCAACTCCCCCCGGGCAGGCTCCCCGCTCTGCAACTCAAACCTGCAGGATTCGGAAGAGGATATTGAGGCCCCGTCTTACGGCCTGTTTCGAGAAGACACATCACTGCCCTCTCTGTCCAAAGACCATTCTAAGCTCTCTATGGAGCTGGAGGGAAATGATGGGCTGTCGTACATCATGAGCAATTTTGAGAGTAAATTGAACAACAAAGTACCTCCGCCAGTCAAACCAAAGCCGCCCGTTCATTTTGACATCACAAAGGGGGATCTGTCTTACTTAGACCAAGGCCATAGGGATGGACAGAGGAAGTCTGTGTCTTCTAGCACCTGGCTACCTCCAGATGGGTTCGATCCTTCAGATTACGCCGAACCCATTGACGCCGTGGTCAAGCCCAGGAATGAAGAAGAAAACATATACTCGGTGCCCCATGACAGTACCCAGGGCAAAATCATCACCATCCGGAATATCAACAAAGCCCAGTCCAATGGCAGCGGGAATGGTTCTGACAGTGAAATGGACACCAGCTCTCTGGAGCGAGGCCGGAAAGTATCCATCGTGAGTAAGCCAGTGCTGTACAGGACGAAATGCAGCCGGCTGGGGAGGTTTGCTAGTTACCGAACCAGCTTCAGCGTGGGGAGCGACGATGAGCTTGGGCCCATCCGGAAGAAAGAGGAGGATCAGGCATCCCAGGGTTACAAGGGGGACAATGCCGTCATTCCATATGAGACAGACGAAGATCCGAGAAGGAGGAATATTCTTCGAAGTTTGAGAAGGAACACTAAGGTAAGACCAGTTAGGGGTGAGGCCAGGCGTGGCTTGCACAGTCTGGGTGCAAGTTGATTGACGAAAACTGTGATTTCCAAGGACAGCTTGTTCTGCTAGAAAACAGCTCTGTGTGTGTGTGTGTGTTTGCGTGTATTTGCTCTTTGAGCATGGAAAAGAAAGCACTGTCTCATAGCTATTGCTCGAGGCTCTCAAGTTGTAAGGACCTTGGGTAGATCGCCTGAGTTGTCTTTGTCCAAGACAATAGTTAATTACCACAATGAGCGGTTCCTGTAGAACTTGTCAGTAGCCTGACAAGCTGCCAAGCCGGTGACAATGTATTTGCTCTTCTTTCACTTAAAGACCAGAATCCAGGCAGCTCTCATCCCTAGACTGCCCGCCTGTGTTTATGCGGGCATGTCTTTTAACAAACCTGTCCCTATCAGAGGCAGCTCTCCTGCCCGCCTATGACTATGCAGGTGTCTCTCTTTTTCTTTCTCCTTTTCCTAATAAACCTGTCTCTTTAAAATGTAAAAAAATAAATAAATAGGAAAATCCAAAGTCACACACCTCGGTCTCTTTCTGCTAAACAAACATTTCATCTGTAAATGCTCCATGTCTTAAATGCTCCTTCTTCCCCTTGCTAATCTGTAAAGGTTGCTGTATTTTCAATTAGGAGAAATTGGATGATTATTTTATTTGCACACACAAATCAGTGAAGGGGCTTCAAGTGCTTAAATGGAAAATAAGATTGTCACCACTGTGAGTTATAAACCTGTCCCATATCTGTAAAATTGTAGCGCAATCCAGCTCATTCTGAGTGAGTCACTGCACTGCAACTATCAATGAGAGCTCCGGATCTTATTTAGGGGTCACAAGTGGAGCAGGGAGGGGAAGAGTAAAGAAAAGCCTCCCCATCATGACCATCAGATGCAGAGGAAATAGCCCCCCATGCTGCAGCCAATGAGTTGAAAGGTTCGGCGCGGTAAAGGAGAGGAGAGCCAGGCTACATTTCTCAAAGGGAGGGAAAGTTTATTGCGCCCCGGGCGGACCTCACAGACCCAAGGCGGGGGTCAGTGAAGTCGCGCACGTTGTTAGGGGGAAGCAGGGTTTTATAGGGTGAGGAGAGGTCGGGTGGGTAGTTGGGCTCGTATGGCGGGAAAAGTTTGTAGGGCAGGTAGAGGTTCTTTGTCTGAGATGAGACTCGTAGGGGGAGGGGGGAGGCTCATCGTCTGAGTCCTCCAGGCAGGTATTCACATTCCTGCCCCCCAGGTGGGCTTCCGGGTAGGCTTTTGCATTGCGGCCTGCTGCATGGACCTTTCATGAGTCAACTTTATCTTGCTAGAAGCACATTCTGGGCAGCGCAGCTTTCCCCTTGTGCTTAGACTTGGAGATGGAAACCATCTTCCCCAGCTTTTCCTTTTTTTCCTGTGTAGTGTATACAGAAATACTCTTTGTTTTTTAGAGAAAGACATCTTGGTGAAACACCGTAACAGAACTTGTTATAGGACAGGGAGAGGGGCAGCCCAAACCCCGCAGACCTGCCTATTCTACATGGGTTCTGCCATCCGCCGCATCAACACAAAACATAGGAGACTTTAATGGGAAGGAACTTTAATAAAACTAGGAAACAATACAGGTAAGGCAAAGAGTCTAGTTTCTAAATGAAGCATCCAGAGTTACCCGTCCCCTCGTGGGTAAAAGTCCATCCAAATGGGATTGGCCCAGAACAAGGCCCCAAAGCCTGCTACAAGTCTAAAGCATCTTCCAGTGGGGACCCACAGAAAAGGGTCACAAACAACTGGACAAGCCCGGAAGGAAAAGAGCAAAATCAACATCAAGATAAAAGCTGCCATGGTCACCTCCCCACGGGTCTCACCCACATCTGTGTCACCCAGTCCACGACCAAAAGACAAGCGCAGTTTCTTCACGTGTCTCTAGGCTCCATGCACCTCCTCCAGGTCTCCTGGCTCCATCCTGCTTCCTTCCTCAGTCTCTTCTGCAGCTTCTCCTCTTCCTGCTCAGCTCCACCCTCCCTTGGGTGGGGCAGGGAACCTCCCCCTTTCCTGGGGACCACCCTGTTGCAATCCCCCCTTTTAATTTTTATTCCATCATATCTATGGTGGCACAGATGTCATGGTGTAATCTTAGGAGACAGTCTTTTTTTCAGGGTTACAATGTGTGTAAGAGAAGCAACAATTAGTCAGCAGCATTGTCCATGAATGTCCAGTATGACAGTTTCATTACTTAAAAATAGTCCATTATCCAAGCCAAAAGAAAAAAATTTGGAGCATTGGCTAAAACAAGATAGCAAATATATCAAAATCACAGGGAAAAAATGTTAAAATGGTTCAACTGATGTAAAACACAAATTTTCTCAACCTTGATCCCAAACTTTTAACAGCATAGCAAAAGTTTGCAAACTAAATCTACTTTTAAACTATTTTTCCTATTTTTGTATAAAATCACAGGGCAGAAATAACTAACAGCAATTTTTAGCTGGCTTTGTTGAAATACCCCATATAGGATCAGAGCGAACCGGTGGCATCCGGTCGACGTAGGCTTCAGGTACAAAGTTGGTCTCATCAGACTCCACCTGGGCTTTCCTCTTCTCGAGGGTACCAGGGCATTTTCGTTGGCCGGGTTGTCCAGTCCTGCCAATGGAGGCAAGCTTCCTCACCTTCTTTGGAGGTCTCTGGAACCCTACAAACACTGTGTGACGTGCTAACTCCACGTCAGCGTGATACACGGGGTGATTTCTCGCCTGGAATGCTTTTGATCCTCTCCCTCCCAGGGAACTGCAGAAAACAAAGTCACTTGTCTGAAAGCAGTTCAGGGAGCTTTGTACAGAAGCATGTACCTTTGTAAAAGAACGTGTGTTAGCATAAGACTCACCAAATTAGAAGGATGAATACAGGCTATTTTGAGAGCTAACAGTGCTGTTGTAAAGTATCACCTGGAGGCTATTCTGCAGCTCCTATTGTTATAGTTCCTGGCTGTGGGTCCTCACCCGCTTGCTTTAAAGGGACTTATGAATACTCTACTACAGACACACACAAAAGGGTTAATAAAAGGTTTATTTACAAGAGAAAAAGAAATAAGGAAAATGTACAACTCAGGGAGAAAATAGGGAAATAAAGTCTTTAATGCGTCCTACCCGATCTGCCGACCTGGAAACCCAAAGTCACTCTCAGAGCTGGCCGGACGCTGCGAGCTGGTGGAGAGCCAAAATGGGGGATCCCCAAAGCCCACGTGTCTGCCTTTTGTATCCACCTGGCTGCTTAACCCCACCCTCAGGTCCCAGACACCTTCCCTTTGGTGGTGATGGGATTTGGAGTTCCCAGTGTCTTTGGCTTTGACCTGGGGTGGGGGTGGAGTCCACAAAGCCTATATGGATTTGCTTTGGGACATCCTTTTCCCCCTAACACTATGGCCAGGAGGTGTCTGGAGATTGAGGAATATGGTGCCTGGACCCTTTGTTTCCTGTCTGCATACAAAGCATTCCTCAGTCACCAGAGGCCAGGAGCTTCCAGACTTTTCTTACCTGTGCAAGGGCAGGGCTGTATCCTGCACCCAGTCCCCTCCCCTCTGCACTGAAGAATAATACATATTGCAGGGTTATCTTCTGTTTCAGTTGCCCTGGGTTTGCTTTCCTCTTTGGTTCCTCATCCGCCTTCAGCAACTTGTCCTCTGCAGGCTGGTGGGGGCAGACCCCTGGAAAACAGTTTTGATCTTGGGAGCCAGAGAACAGCCTGCCCTGCTTCCCGGCATTTCCCCAAAGCGCTCTTGTTTAATGAAATCGGAATCCAAACATTTTGAACATTTTGACTCCTCTTCCTCCTCCACTCCCAGTGAAGGCTGTTGCCAGAGCAGCTCAGCAAAATGCTGACAGTCTTCTAATTTGTGGGGGTGTTTGCACACCTGGGGATTAGGAAGGTGGCATAATAGCACACTGTGAGCTCCAACTATTTTTCTGACTTCTAGCTACATTTTTAATACTTGTTGAAAATAATGCTTTTAAAACATTCCCAAACAAGGCGTGCTTTAAAGAGTAGGCACTGTGGGCTCAGCAGAAAACAGCTGGTTCCGCTGAGCCTCTGAGACTGCCGCATCCGTGCTGGTAACGAGCACTTCCTACCTAGGACTTCCTTGCCTTGGGTGGCGGACGCACTGCGAGAGTGATTGTGTGGGCCACCCTCTTCAGGTCACGTTACAGTGACACCTCTGGCCCAAGAGCAGTAGCGTGCCAGAAGTCTGTGTAGGAGTATCCTTTGGAAAGAGTGAGTAAAGGTGAAATTGTCTTTTCCTGCCTTGGATAATGGTGCTTTGAAATGAGTGTAGCTGCCTCATGATCCTGCAGAGATAAGCAGAGCCTTCCTTCCCCGCCTGTAGCAAATCCCCTCTTAAAATCACTGCCCTTAATACACATTGACACCTGCCTCTTTTTTTAAAGATTAGTTTTATTTATTTATGCATACAAGAGCTGGTGTGTAGGCCAGAGGTGGGGGTGGGGGGGTGAGAGGACTCACCAGAGACAGAGCAGGGATCTGAACAGGAGGATCTACTGAAATACTCTGGTGAGGGGAGCAGCGGGCAAGACAGGAGAGGTCTGCTGCACCATGTGGGTCGGCTCCCTGGCTGAGATTGAACTCATGCTGCTGATAGCTTGATAGTGCTGAGACTTAACCCCTTGAGCCACCAGGGAGGCCCTGACACCTGTCTTACTGGAAAAGCAAGCTACCACGGGGTAGAGAGTGCAAGCCTGCCCCTACGTAGGGCATTTGGCCTTTGATTTTTATTGGCACGACTAAGCAATACAGATTTATTTGAAGTGAGAGGGGAGCCAGTTGGTAATGGAGAACACACTCAGGGCTTCCCGAGTGGCAGACTCCACTGGGGAAGTGGCCGGACATTCCTCGTCCAGACCTTAGTGCTCACTTGAGCCCAGGGTTGTGTGTCCTGGGGCAGAGCAAACGTCTCCTGATCTCCTGCAGGGTGGCTAGGGTGGCTAGGGTAGGGTG